ATAAGTATAGAAACCTGAGCAAAATATACTGCTAAATTTGCAACAATCTATTCCAGTCCTCCTGGTCTTCCTGCTTAATCAGGGGACAGGTGGATCCTCAGGGGAAACGAAACGGAAGAAGAGAGTCGAGATAGAAGTCACAATGGTGACAATAGTAACAGACATACTGGTAGCAAAAGACTCACCTACCTATGGCAGAGAGATCCATGAGAACACGGAGGGATGGGTCTAGAAAAGACCGTTAGGTGTTGCGGATCTTTGGTATCGAGCATCGGCCTCTTTTTGCAAAAGAAGCGGGTGCGACGCCAGCCACTACAGCAAAGACAACTCGATATGCACGACTCCCCTTTTAAGGGGGAGGGCACAAAGAAATGCCTAAGAAGACATAAAAATGACTCAATATGCACGTCTCCCCATTTAAGGAGGAGGGAACAGAGTAAAACACCTAAGAGGGCGTAGAAACGACTCAATATGCACGTCTTTCCTTTTAAGGGGAGGGCATAGAGTAAATGCCTGAAAGGGCGTAGAAACGACTCAATATGCACGTCTCCCCTTTTCAAGGGGAGGGCACAGAGCGAACGCCTCAGAGGGTGTAGGATCACGTAAGATAATCCCACTTGGGTGCTCGAAGGAACTGAAGGTTATGACGCCCTCAGGAGCACAGAAAACGCTATGGGAGAAGGGAAAAGGTTCCCCCGGCAGTAGCGATCATATCAATTTTCCTGCTTTTCCGCATTGCGGGGCAAAAAAGGGATAACGATCGGAAACAAGAAAAGGTTATGAAATCAATCAAAAAATACAACGACATAACGACATCGATGCACATCGATGCATGCGATAATACAGCAACCGAACTGTCGAGGGTGAGAAAGGGACAAAATGCATCGAGTTGCTACCCCTAGCAACTGACAGATGGACCGAAAACCAAGGTCTACTGTGACTCGAAGGAAGAGAACCAGGTCACGATAATATGAGCTGAACTCCTAGTACGGAGAGAGACTTTAACCCCAAAAAATGAAACTCCAAGTATGGAGAGAGAGACTCATCCCCAGCGGAGTCGCCAGATTTGTTTCCGTTCATTTTTCTCTTTTTTATTTTTAAAAGGAGTCGTCAGCTTTTCAATCGTCGTATACTTCCCCCATTCGAATAAATCTCGCTCCCGAACCATATAAATGATTCGAAGAGGAGAGGAATAAAATAAGAACACATACGACAAAGAGACAAACAAAAAGTATAACGTAGAGAGTCTACGTGCGATAAACCTCGCAATGATAGGTTAAGAATATCCGCCCTAATAAGATCGGGTGGAGGAACCTTAAACCAATATCTGCGAAAGAAGTATCTACATAGACTACTCATAACCAGAGAGTCAGGTGTATGTACCTGTTCTGGGGTCAAGAGCACTCCCAGAGGAACGTGTTCCTACTGGTTAATTACATCTTGGGGGATACTTAAGAATACTCTCGATAAAATGAGTTCATTTCATATTATCATAAATCTGGGGTATAAGCAATCAAATGAAGGTTATTCCGTGTGGGAACAGTCCCAATGCTTCAAAGCTCATGCTAAACAATCGAGCAGAGAATGAGTCTCTCGCATCCCGAAATGGGTAGCGGCTCATCGACACATGGGGCCCACAGAATAACCTAAATCATCTTGACAGGGATATCCTAATACGTCAAAGCACGTCTGGGCCATAGGGCAAAGGACAAATCGCGAAAAAATCGCCGTATCTCAAATGGGCGGCAACTCATCGACATCGGGCTGCCAAGGTGATATCAACGAGGTCAAAGGAGCTGAAATGACTCAACAGGGGTAGTCAGAAGACAGGGAAAAGTAATCCTAGGAGGTAGAGGTAGTCAGGTCGGGGTACCACGACCCGTCATCCCAAACCACTAGGATCCTAAGTCTACCTAGTCGTAAAAGTAGTCGACCCAACACAACCTGAGATCCCCGGTCAGCAATATGTGAATTGCATCATCCACGAGAACGTCGATAGCTCTAAGTTCAAATGAAGAAAACAATATCCTATGACTATAAACTGGAGCTCCAAGAGGTGGGACTTATACCTGCCGAAATGACAAGGATGCCTCCGGAAAGAAGAGAAAGTGGAGGTTCAGCTACAAAACTGTAAACACTCCAACAAAAGGACTTACACCCCGTCTGGGTCGAGGAGCCTTCTAACTCCCTAGGCGCACTAGACAACCACTTATATAAAGGTATGTAGGGTCAATCAGGTTGAAAAAGTATGAGGACTCCTCCTCGGGACATGCAAACATGAATGCAGTTATCTATAATGATCCTAAGTATTGTGAAGACAACCCGTTTAAAATCCTACCCGAAGTTTATGTAGGAAAGTAAAACTATAAATTTTTAAATCCTGAATATTTTAATCCTAAATTTTAATTATCTTGAATATTTTATTTATAATATTTTATTTAGGATTTTGTAGAAAATTAAAATTTTAGGGTTCTTGATGACCTATGTTGTATCGTGAAATCTCAGATAAAAACAGAAAGAAAACAAGTAAAACACATGCAAGTGCAGACATGCAACATGATGCAAAAAAAACAAAGCAAGTCAAACCAAAATAATAAAAGGGCGGTGCCGCTGGGTCGGCAACATATCCCAGAAAAGAAAAGGACGGTTGGACTCCGCATATACATGCCCGGTCCTAATTTTATACATCAATATAAAATGCAGAATTAAGATACGGGGCACGAGCATCTGCTCCTGGTCCCCTTCACGTGGTTCCCGTGCTAACATCTCGGAACCCGTGCCCGCATCTTATTTCTATTACAAGACTCTCCTAGACTCTAAAAAGTACATAGAGAAAAGAAAAAAACTCAATCCTGCATGAAAACAAGTGTCAGCGGGAAAACTCACATGCACATAACGTATCATGAGTCATGCCTTAAATGTGGAAGAGCTAATAGCACCTGCAAGCAAAATGGTCAGAAATCATTACTTGCTCCGTCATAGCAGTATCTGTATGTGTGTATAAAAATAGACATGACTCCCTGTAGAAGAACGCTCTAACATACTACCACACATATGCAACATGCAGACACACCAGAAGCATAATGTAAAAGAAAGATACCTGGCTAGGGCAATCAATCCAACATAGAACAATAACCAGACATCAAAAAAACTATCTAGCACCCTAAATCCTAATCTAGCACACCACCTAACGAAAAGTGCATCAACCTAGTATCTAAGTGTGGGATAAGTTTGGGTATAGTATGACTTTGACGGTGTCACTTTACTGGCCCCATCCTAAGGATCCAAAAAATCTAAAGAGTGTCACAAAAGGGGATGACACCAGTTAGATTCATTGTATTCTTAACACAGTCATACCCATGTCAGTCCCGATGACTTAACTCGCATTGTTCATTGGGATCAACCCAGCAAGCAATGCTTGTTAAGGCATCACGATCAACACAGGGTCACTCTCCTAATGAACCTGACTCGCTATCCATACAAACATGCAAATGCAAATGCTAATGCAAAAAAATCAAAACTTATAAGTAATGATAAAGAGTATGTCATGAAGGCAATGACTCGAAGGAATGAGCATGTCGTAGTGGCAGAGGCCCAAGAAGAGGGTATACCGGTGAGGTAGTGACCCGAGGATGGACATGCCGTGACGGCAGCGGCCCGAAAAGGGGGTATACCGGTAAGGTAGTGACCCGAAGATGGGCATGCTGTAGCGGCAGGGGCCCGAAAAGAGGGTATACCGATAAGGAAGTGACCTGAAAGAATACAACTCAAGTAGATGATATCAATCATGCAGACAAACATATACATGCACATACACAACATGTAAAGGAGCAAGTGGCCGGTCGACACCTCTTGGAGCTCCAGCTTGTAGTCATAAGATAGAATTTTCTTCCTTTGACCTTTTTGCTACCGAGGTTCTCGTGGATGATGCAATTCACGGATTGCTAACCGGGGATTTCAGGACGTGTTGAGTCGACTACTTTCACGACCAGGACCAGGGACGACTGGACGGGTTGAGTCGACTACTTTCACGACCAGGTAGACTTAGGGTCCTAGTAGCTGTGTATGACAGGTCCGCGGTACCCCGACTCAATTATCTCTACCTTTTAGGATCACTTTACCTTCCTTTTTGTTGAGCCCATTTGAGACCCGTCGCTCCTTGACCTCGTTGATATCACCTTGACAGCCCGATGCCGATGAGCTGCCGCCCATTTGGGATACGACGATTTGTTCTTTGTCCTTTGGCCCGATGTGCTTTGACTTATTGGGATATCCCCATCAAGATGATTTAGGTTAGTCCGTGGGCCCCGTGTGCTGATTAGCCACTACCCATTTGGGATGTGAGAGACTCACTCTCTGCCCGATGGCTTAGCGTGAGCTTTGAAGTATCGGGACTGTTCACACGGAATAACCTTCCTTTGATTGCCTATACCCCAGGTTTATGTTAATATGAAGCGAAACTCCTTTTATCGAGAGTATTCTTGGGTATCCCCCAAGATGTAATTAACTAGTAGGAATACGTTCCTCTGGGAGTGCTCTTGACCCCAGAACAGGTACATACACATGTCTCTCTGATTATGGGTAGTCTACGTAGATACTTCTTTCACGGATTTGGTTTAAGGTGCCTCCGCTTGATCTTGTTTGGGCGGACATTCTTGACCTATTCTTGGGAGGTTTATCGCACGTAAACTCTCCACGTTTTACTTGGTCTCTTGTTTGTCTCTTTGTCGTATGTCCCTTCTTATTTGATTACTCTCCTCTTTGAATCATTTACATGGTTCAAGAGGGAGATTTATTCAAATTGGGGAAGTATACGACGATCGACAAGCTAGCGACTCCTTTTAAAAATAAAAAAAAGAGAAAAATGAACGGAAACAGTGATATAAATATAAATACGAAAGTTTAGGTGTTATATATGTAAATACATTGTGGTGTTTGTAAATTTCTCTAAATTTTATCCCAATTAAGCAGGAA